TGCGCAAACGAAAAATCAAGGTTGAACAATGACTGCGGCGCAGTGCAACTCAAATGAAAGGGTCGCGCTGTATAATATACCAAAGCGGGTCCCATCCGTCCAGCGATTGCATTGCAAAACGAGAAGTTCAAACCAGAGCAGGACAGAGTGTCGCAAACCAGTCTGTATCACTTCAATCAGCGTGAACAATTCAAGACAGTACGACTCAATGCAACCAGAACCAATACACACGGAACAACGCAGCACGAAACAACGCATCGCCAAACAATGGCGACCAGAGCGGACCAATTCACAGCACGCTAGTCTTTCACGACAATTCACAACACAACGGGGAAGAAGCGGAACTGAAGAAAAAGGGAAGTAAGGGTGAAGACATATTGTCCTCGTCTTCTTCGGCTCTGCTCTGGCCGCCGTTTCCCTCTTCCCCTCTTCCCCTCTCCCCTCCTCTTCGGCCTTGGCGTCGTCGTCCGACGACGACGCCGAGGCCGAGGCCGAGGCGACGGCGACGTGGCGGCGCCCGATGTGGCCGCGGGGGCAGCGGGGAGGTGCCCGCCGCGCTGCTGGACATGTCGCGGTCGGTGATGATCGAGCGCTTTTCGTCGCCGGTGATGCCGAAGCCGGTCGCACCGGGGGTTCAAGAGTCGGCCACTAAGCAGTGGCGAGGCGTCTTGGTTCTCCTATAGCCCACCAAGAAAATGTTCGAAGAACCTTGCGTAGTCTGCGGGATACGTTCTCACAACATGTCTGGCTGAGACTGATCTGTTTAAGCACATCTGGTTCATTTTCTAAGAACATTGTTCGTGTTTTTAGGTCAGGTTGTAGTAGGACTAGAGGAATGCCAGGACTGTCGGTCCCTGCTCAAGACTACACGTAAGAGTGACCCTTCGCCAGAGAGACCTTTGGTGCGGGCCCATTGGGGTCCCCCGATCGCCGAACGAGACGGGGTAGCAGCGGTTTGCGCGTTAGTGTTTGATCCCCGCGGCCCCCGGAAAGCCGCGCACCAGAGGTCACTCTTACCCAGGGGTCACTCCTGCGTGCAGTCGAAAGAGACGGGGGTCAACGCAAACGGGGGGTCAGTCAGAGCGCCGGACCCTGCAGGACCCTGCATAGCCCAGGGGGGCCTGGACCCCCGGGCTTGGGTGCAGGATCCTGCAGGGCCTTGGCAGGGCCTCGGCAGGATCTTGCAGAGCCTGTGACTGGCCCGGTCCTGGACGGATCTGGGTCGGCAGATCCCCGAGCGACGCTGTCATTGCTCGGCGGACCCAGGCTTTGGTCGGGCACGTCCTCCTACAGGCGGATTTTGGACGATAAATCAACAACGGGCAAAAATAGTCAGAAATCCGATAATAAAGTAAGGAGATCGTCGCCTGATTATCCGTGCGGGCTTGGTCCCCTGCCGCTGGCCCCCTTTCAATCAGAACGGGGCATGCCAGAGCTATGTTGTATTTTCTCGGCGCCGTCGTGAAACAATGTCGGAACATCATGGTAGGGCAATTGGCAAGTGGCAATCATATTTACGAGGTTGTATAGCCTCGGGGACGCGAACATAGAGTAAGTTGCAAGGGTTTGTGGAATGGGATACGCGAGCATCACGTAATTTACGAGGGTTTATGGCCTCGGGGACGCGACTATTCTGTAATGTACTTGGGTGTATGGTCTCGGGGCGCGAATATCGTGTAATTTACTTGTTTTTTTGTTTCGGCGGTACGATTTTTATATAATTTCTAAGGATTACTGCTTCGGGGACGCGAATATGGTCTATTTGCAAGGGTTCATGGCCTCGGGGACGCGAACATGGCGTATTTTACTAAGGATTATGGCCTCGGGGACGCGAACATGCTGTATTTTTTCTCGTGCCCCACGCCCCACCAGGAATTCTGAGATTCCTCCCAGGGCGTGGTAGAGAATCCCGCTTGGGGCTCCCACCCTTCGCGCGGACAGCAACAATTAATAGTAAGGGAGCAGACAGCAGGACTGTAACAGTGCAAACTGGAAACTGCAACTGGAACAAGGAACTGCAATCTTCACCCTCGCAGCCTGGTGGCCCCGCAAGGGGGCCGGCGGATTTATTTCCTATTTTTGAATATTCCTCCTGCAGAGGGACATGCCCGACTTAAACCCAAGCCCCCTCGTGCCGTGAAGAGATCACGGCCTGATGCCTCTGTTATTTTCGGCCTCGAGGGGGCCCATTTTACCGGGCCCCAGGGCCGCCAAAGACCGACTCGATCGGGAGGAAAGGCTGGTGCCGGGGAAGGGGCCCAGACCTTTGGGGGTCGACGTTGGGAACAAAATGACGACGTCGGTGGTCTGGGGAGGCCACGTCCATATGGAGTAAGGCCACATGGAGTGCTCGGTTTCCGTCTGGGCTTATTCTTTCCGGGTTCGGCCTCCCCTCAGAGGAGGCCAAGTCCATACGGAGGTTACGCCCACACGGAGTGCTCGGTCTCCGTCTGGGCTTGCTCGGGCTGGATTTGGCCCGTCTTGATAGGAGGCGGACTCCACATGTAGTAAGTCCACACGGGGTGCCTCGGTCTCCGTCTGGGCCGGCTCTGGTTGGATTTAGATTCTCTTGATAGGAGGTTTTGAGGCCACACGGAGTGCTCGGTCTCCGTCTGGGCCTACTCCGATTGGACTTAGCCTCTTTTGGATGATTGTTCAGGTAGTGTTGGTGTGTGGGTATTGCATGCTTGTTCCTCCACGTGCAGCCGCTTCGGCGGCTTTTTTATCGCATGCGTCAGCCACGTCCAGACCCCACATCTGTAACGCCAGGTGGAGATAAAACTAGGAGTGGGCCGCCCTAGTCCTCGCTGCGTTGACACTCGACCGGCCCTACAATGCGTGTGTGTGTGTGTGCGTGTGTGTGTGTGTGTGCGTGTGAGTGTGTGGTGTTGTGCTGTGCTGTGTTGTGTCTTGTGTCTTGTGTCTTGTGTCTTGTGTCTTGTGTCTTGTGGTGTGTTGTGTGTTGTGTGTGTTGTGTGTTGTGCCTGTGTGCCTGTGTGCCTGTGTGCCTGTGTGCCTGTGTGCCTGTGTGCGTGTGTGCGTGTGTGCGTGTGTGCGTGTGTGTGTGTTTTTGTTGCGGGTCCGCCATTGTGCTCTCAGTGCGCCTCAGCACGCTCATTTCCGACTCAACCTGTCTCTCTGGAAGTGTTGTTTTCCCCACCCAGCGGTGCTTCCCTCCCCCTCGTCGGCCCCCCTTCGTCACTCCTTCGCGGCTGCCTCCCCGCGAGTGCTGCGCGGTCACTTCTGGGTTGATCTTGCATGCCCTTGCTTGCTGCCTCTGGGCTGGCCTGCGACCGCATTTTTCCTTGATTCTCGCTTATTTCTGCACCCGATTGCGCACGTGCGTGTGTACGAGTGTGTGTGTGTGTGTCTGTGTGAGTGTGTGTGTGTGAGTGTGTGTGTATGTGTGTGCGTGTGCGTGTGCGTGTGCGAGTGTGTGTGAGCGCGCGCGCTCGAGTGTGTGTGTGTGTGTGTCTGTGTGTTTGTGTGTGTCTTTGTGTGTGTGTGTGTGTCTGTGTGTGCGCGTGCTTAGTGGACCGCTGGCCCGGGTGCGCTCCAAGGCGCGTTGCTACGACTTGTGGCCACTCCGCACGACTCCTCACGGAGCCCGCGGCTGCCAGCACCGCGCGTGGGGGGCGCGGCACGCTCCCGAGCGCGTCTTCCCCCTTCGCCTTTCTGCGCGGCCGCACCTCCTCCTCCTCCTCCTCTTCCATCTGCGCGGGGGGCGCATCTGCGGCCCGGCCATTGCCACACAGCCTCTCCATGTCCCACGCCGCCGCCAACAAGAGGTGTACCTGTGGAGTCGCCTTCACATGCGGTGGGGGCGTTGGGTAAGGAATGTATCCAGGAGGCTTCAGACCCTGCAGGATTCCTTACCTGATGAGGGCGGTGGTTATATCCACGGCCAAGCCTCAATTGGCGCACCACCGGCTTTGAGACCCTGGATTCCTTCTCCAAGGGTTCCTCATCCAATGCTTTTACTGTATGGCGCCGCCACCGTCTTTGGGGCCGCTTCTGCTCGGGGTGGGGGAGGGGGCAGCCTCTGGATGTCTTCGGGGAGGACCCCAGGGCGTTACGGCGGCCTTCGAAGGGCCAGTCTTCGGGGCCTTGGAAGCCAGCCGTGTCAGCCTGCGGCAGGCTCGCGTTGTGCCGGGGAGGACCCCAGGGCGTTACGGCGGCCTTCGAAGGGCCAGTCTTCGGGGCCTCGGAAGCCAGCCGTGCCAGCCTGCGGCAGGCTCGCGTCGTGCCGACGCGGCGGCGACCCCGCCGCGGGCGCTCCGGGTGGAACGCCGTCGCTGGCAGAACAGGCCAGTATTCAGGAGGAGGAGGAGGAGGAGGAGGAGGAGGAGGAGGATCAGGGAGAGGATGAGGAAGAGGAGGAGGAGGAGGAGGAGGAGGAGGAGGAGGAGGAGCAGGTGATCGCAAACATGGATCAAGGGGGCGTCGATTAGCGACGGGTCCCGTGTCCACGGGAAATCGCGGATCTCCGCTGCCGAACGAGGCGGCACCGGCCGCATTTTGGGGGTGGCACCTCCCCCGATCCATGGATTTGGCGGCCGCGCGTCAAATCCATGGATCGCTATTCCATGTTTGCGCGCCCCTGAAATACGGAGCGATGTGGCGACCGAAACGCCGCCGATCGTCCAAGATTGAGCGATCCACGCGATGTCAGAAACCAGCGATGGGGTCGTCACGACACGAACCTGCCGCACCTGTGTGCACCGAGCCTGGCCACAGCAGATTCCGAATGAGCCCATGACCAGTGCTTACGAGGCCCTTGCTAGGCCAGGGCGAGATATCGGGGGCCCCACATGGGGTGGTGACCACACTGAGTGGTGAGTCCGTGGGGATTCGGGGTCACCGCACGGTTTGGGACTTGGGTCGTTCTCCAAGGATGTCTTGGGCGACTGGGGCTTCCAGGGTCCCAAGATCGTGTGCTGACGGACCGTGCGTTGAGGTCTTCGGGGATTTCGAGGTCACCGCACGGTCTGTCACCGCACCGTTTCGGGACTCCAAAAGGTACCCCGTCGTTGTCCATCTCATCAATGTGGCGGTGGCAGTGGGCTTCTAGACATGGGCGACGGCAGGCACGGGCAGAAACGATACGGTATTGCTGCAATTGTGACTCGCTCGTCGAAGCCCAAAGTCGCGAAGTGAATGGCTATTGTTTTGCTTGTCGCTGTTTGCTTACCTTCTTCAGTTTCGTGGCTCTGCGCGGTGTGACGTTAAACGCCCCCAATCTCAACACGGCCGCGGCCACTGGCCTGGCCGAGTTGCATACTCTGGCTCCGGGCGAGGTCATCACGCTGTCCTTCACCCGCCTCTCGCCCGCGAGCAAGGACTTCCAGAGAAGGCTGTGGTCGATGCGTCCTTGGGGCATGCTCCTGGACGTCGTCCCGTGTCTCCCGCATCCCCCCATTTCATGCCATCCGTCCGCATCGCCCCTTTGCCACCACGAGAGGGCACACATCCGCATCCGCGCCCTCGCGGTCTGGATGGTGAGGCGCGATCCCGCGGATGCGCGGTCGCACAGATACTCTCCGCGCGGGGCATCCGCGAAAAACGTCCCGTATCCGCGGGGTCGCGGCCCAGGGGCCCGGCCCGCGAGGCCGAGGATACGGACATGCGTTTCACCCATGACGCCACTCGGTCATATTTCCCGCGCCAGTGCGGCAGGTATTGAGATTCATTGGCTGACGCCGCACCGCCGACCCCTTTGGGGCGTCAGCAAGGAGGAACCACGGAGTTTGCGGAACGCGCGCGATTTCTGAGGAGTCTTGGGACTTCATCTTCTTGGGCTTTCGACGGGGGCGGTTGGCGGACCGCAGTTCGGCTCCTGGGCTTCTCTGGGCTCTCCCGGCAGCACTTTCGAAGCCTCTTGGGAGCTGTGTTGGGCCTCTCGGGCCTCTCGGGGAACTCGTGGGAGCCTCTTGGGGGCCACTTTTGAAGCCTCTAGTGGCCTCTTCTGGGCCTCTCGGGGAACTCGTGGGAGCCTCTTGGGGGCCTCTTGGCGCCTCCTCAGGATTTTTTCGGGGCCGAGTGCTCGAAGTGTCCATTCCGATTCCTCCTCTGGGTCTCCTCTTGGGGCCGTCCTGTGGCCCTCCTGGGCCGTTTTGGAGGCTTCTGGGGCCTTCTCGGGCCCTCCGGCAGGTACTGAGATTTGCAGCGGTGGATTTGGATGATGTCCTGAGGGCTTACGTATTCGGCCGATTGTGCAGCATAGCCTCTGTTGGGGTCCGAATTGACCTCACACAGACCTACCCCGCACAGAGGGGTCAAACTCGATTTCAAACGAAAACACGTCCCCCGCATGTCTAATTCAAGTTCAAACGACCTCCCCTGCAATGGGGGGGCCGAAATCGACCTCAAACGAAAACACCTCCCCGCAGGGGGAGGGTCAAATAGACCGCGAACGAACATCCACCCCTCCGAACTGCGGAGTGAACGCATACCCCATATGTTTTTTGTTCTAGTCGGTTGACAGGTTTTGTGCAACTTGTGATCTTTAAAGGCGGGGTTTGTTCTGATGGGTGTCGCGAACTTGAAGTTGAATGTTTTGAGTCAGGAATTATCCAAGACGCCTACGTCGAATCACCGCCGCCCTCTGCCTTGAAAGATACGCCTATGTCGCCAAACGCTTGGGCAAAGCTTGGCCACGCTATCGGGCCATGCGCTCCCCCAGCAGTTGTGGAAGCCCCTCGGGGAACACGTGGGGGAGGAAGCAGAGGATGAGGAGAGGGAGGCACAAGGAGGATGAGGCGAAGGATGAGGAGACCTCTTGGAAACTTATTGGATCATTCTTGGGGCCTCCCTGGAGCTTCCTGGAGGTCTCTTGGGGGCCTCTTGGGGGCCTCCTTGGGCCTCCTGGGGGCCTCGGGGGGCTTCTTGGGGGCCTCTCTGGCAATCTTGAGGCGTTCCTGGCCCGTCTGACGCCGTCGAGAGCCGTCTTGGGAGCCTTTCTGTGCCGTCTTGGTGCCCTCTCTGGGCGCTTCCGGGTCGTGGGCGCCTGGGAGGCCTCCCGAGCCGTCTTGAGAGCCTGTAGGGCCGTCCCGGAAACATGTTGGAGGCCTCCCGGGCGATCCTGGGGCAATCTTAGGGGCCTCCTGGGCTGGCGGGAGACCGTTTCGAAGCAACTGCCAAAGCCTCTCAAAAACCTGAGAAACATATACTTGATTTGGGCCTTTTCATGCCTTCCTGGATGGGGGCAGTCTTAGGGGCCTCTTGGGCGCTTCTTGGGCCGTCCTGGACTCTCTTAGACCATCCTGGCGATCTTGGGGGCATCTTGGCACCGTCCTCGAGGCCACCTTGGGGCTATCTTGGGCGGGGCCATCTTGGCCGTCCCAGAGGACATCTTGGCCGTGTGAGAGACCATCTTGGGACCATCTTGGAGGCACGCCGTGCACCGCCGTGGCGAGCCACAGGGGGCGGCGGATATCCAGTGGCCTTCGGCCCATCCTCGGAGGCCTAGAGTAAAGTCGGGTATGTCCCTTTACATGAGGAGTATTCAACAAATAATCAAAAAATAGTCGGGGAACGATTTTCTCAAGTATTCTATAACATTGTTTGAAGTTGTTTGGGGGGTACTTTTTATTTTTCGCCCAAAATCGGCTTGGCCTGGAGGGGGACATGTCCGACCTAAGCCTAGAGGTTGACACCAACACCAATATCGGCGGTGTGCCTCCACCGGGGGCAGATTATCCCGATCTCGGTGATGGTGGTAATATTCTGGCTTCCTAGGCGGCCGAACGATTACCACCAACACCGGAATCCAGGATCATCTACCCCTGGTGGAGGCAAGCCCCCGCGTCGGTGTTGGTGCCCACGTCCAAGCCTCCATCATCCCGCCAACGTCCCTTCGTTGTGGGCCAGGGGCCTCTCTTGAATCTCCTGGGACAGTCCGGTCCGGGGGCCTCTTGGGGGCCTCGTGATCCTTGCCCGCAGACGTGTTCCCTGGCGCATCAGCTGCAAGACGGCCTCAGGGCGCCGCGTCTGGGCGCCACGGGACAACTCGGCGATCTCGTCGTTCGTGACTTCGGAGCCGCAGAGAGCGCCAGGGCCTGGGCCTGGGACTCGAACTGCCAGGGCGACTTGGGGATCTCCACCGCCGCCGCCGCCGCCGCGGCCATCCTGCGCCCTGCGTGCCTTCTTGACCACAGGGCCATCTGCCCATGCCACTGGCGGTGACTTCCTAACACCGTAGCCCCAGCAGCACCATCGGCCGCCGTCGTCACCCAAGATGGGCATGTCCTCCTAAATGACAGAAGCCGTAGACCTCCCGGTTGCTGCGCTGGCTTCACGTCCAGCGCCCGTGCCGTCCGCGGGGAGCAGCTGGCGGCGCAGCTGGCTTTCTTTGCGACTCGATCGAGTCCTTCATCGTGCTGGTCGTGCTGCTGGAGACGCCCACGCTGGAAACGCAGTCTGGATCAGCAGCCTTGAAATCCACCTTACGATTCTTGTTGGGTCTTGTCGGGCCACCGAGCGCTGTCTGCACGGTGGGCTCATCGACGCGCCTACCCCACGTCTTCTCGGTCTATTTCTCGACGAGGTCGAGCGCCGAGTTCACCACTTCCTGGCTGCGCGCTGCGCTGAGTTCCTCCTCGGCTTCAGCGCGCAGCCAGTCCTTCGAGGGGTCCAGTTCTCGGCGTAGACCACGTGATCTTTTTCATGTTGGACCGGCGGAGTCAGGACGTCCTTGAGTTTGTATCCCGTCGTCGTAAGAGAGAACGGTTCCAGCAACAGTCCCCTGACGTGCTCTCGGAGGATCTTGATTCTTTCTTTGACATCCTCATTGGTTTGGCGTGCTGGCTGGAAGCAGCCGTCGCCGCACAGACAGTTGACCAGCTGCTTCTTCATGGCGGTGTACTGGCCCACGCAGGCCATGTGAATGTGGCGAACGTCCGGGTCGGTTCGCACCCCGTCGAGCATACCATTCTTGGATCTGTGCAGCTAGAAGGTCTGCAGTGAAACATTGACGGGCTGCCGTGCCCTCTGGTTGACACACCAGCGGCAAGATGCCAGCAGAGTCCCTCGAGGGGTCGCCCGAGCTGGACCAAATAACCCCCAGACGAGTGCCTCCACTCGATGATCAAGTCGCCGAGCTGCACGCCCCAGACGTAGCTCTTCCTGTCCACAGCGGAGCGGTCCTTCCTGTTGGTGGGCCAGAAGTACCTGCTCTGCAGGGCATCTGCTTGTCACGCTCCCGCGGACAAACGTGAGCAATCCCAGCGCCCAAACGAGGTGGTCGTGGTCTCCCGACGGGCCGCTGCACCACAGGCATTCCTCGCGGGGCTTGCCAGCGGCGCGCGCGCTGCACAAGGGCGAGGCCACGGCGCCTGAGAGCACTCAGATAGCCTTGGTTCAGGAGGGAAACCACACAGACACCAAACATCGTCGATCTCCAGGAAAAGATTGGAATTCATCGGGCATGGAGGGGAGTACGAAACTCCAGAAACATGGGGAAATGTGTGGAATCCTGGGAGTTGTGTCTCTGATATATATATATATATACACACATAAACAACAAACACATTCCGATGTATATACTTTTATAGGGCCGGGGACCCCGGAGGACCCCGGACGGAGCCCCCCCCCCCCCAAACGAGTTTCGGCCTTCCCCGAGATTTTCGGGCGGTCCCAGAGGCGCCCCAGACGGCCCGAGATACTCCCAAGAGGGGTCCACGAGCGCTCCAAGACAGCCCAAGAGCTCTCCAAGAGACCCCAAGACCGCCCAAGACCGTCCAAGGGGGTCCCGAGACGCCCCAAGAGGCCTCCAAGAGGCTTCCCAAGAGGGCCCCGAGAGGGACATTTCATTGATTTCTGTATGGTTTTCAGGTTTTTCTGGTTCTCCCTTTGTCGGGCCAACATCAGCCCGAACCGGCCCAAGAGGCTCCAAAGATCGCCCCAAGATAGCCCAAGAGGCGCCCCAAAGAGCTCGAAAACGATCCAAGAGAGTCCCAAGACAGCCCGAGAGGGCTCCAAGACGGGCCCAAGAGAGCCCAAAGAGGCACCAAGAGGGCCCCAAGATGCCGCCAGGAGAGCCCCACGACGGCCAAAGGCCTCCAAGACGCCCCAAGACGGCCCAAAAGGGCCCCGAGACGACCCAAGAGAACCCCAAGAGGGCCCTAAGAGGGATCCACAAGGGCCCCAAGAACACTCCCAAGAGGCCCCAGAACGCTACATAATACCAGGGCTCCCAACACTGAGCTCCAATGGTGCCCCCAGAAGCCTTCCAATATTTCTTTTCCTCCATCCTTTTTCTCCCCGTCTCCCTCCCTCTCTTCCCCGTTATCCTCCTGTTCCTCTTCCTTCTCTGTATACTCTCTGCTCCTCCTCCTCTCAGCCTCCTCCTCCTCC